CGGAGCAGCTACAGAGAAGGCTCTCGCCCGAGGCGCCGCCAAACGACATTGTCTAGTTGACGGCACCCGGAGAAGGCCCACTCTGTGAGATCGTATAGGTCGCTGGGAGGTATGTGGCAGAAGACGGTCCTGTAGTTATCCAGGCCCTAAGCCATACAGGGCTTTAAAGGTAATGACCAGCACCTTGAAACGCGTTCGGAGACCGATCGGGAGCCAATGCAGCTCGCGGAGAATGGGTGTAACATGGGTGTATCTAGGTACACCCAATATCGCTCGCGCGGCTGCATTCTGGACCAGTTGTAGTCTCTGAACGCTTTTCAGGGACAGCCCCATGTAGAACGCAGCCCCATGAAAGGCTTGGCCTGTAGTGGGACACACAACTGAAGACAAAGTGTACTCTAAAATGTTGTTCAACATCTCAACAAGAGCCCACGGAGCCCACAGGGACTCCTTCAAATAAATATGAAGATTTATGGAATGCTCGCCAGAGGTGGTATTCAGCTAGTTCTGACAGGTTCTGGAGAACCGGTAGCAGACATTTTGAGTAGTTCGGAGAACCGGCCAACAGGCTGGCCCTGCCCCTTCTTTTGTTGCCCTGAACAGAAGAACGGAGCTGGAAAGCAGGTTAGTGGGGTGGGAGAGAATGGGGATTTTGCAGTAACCTTTCCCCAGGAGTGGGGAGGGAATGCGGATTTTGTAGTATCCTTCCCCTGCCACGCCCACCAAGCCACGTTACACCCACCAAGCCATGCCTACAGAACTGGTAGTAATTTTTTTTTTAATGCCACCACTGATGCTCGCTACCCAGTTAATTCAATAATTAGTCAGGATCCTTGTTTAATTTTTAATTTAATCAAGAAGCCTAACAGATACCAATCTGGTGGATGATCCACCAGTTCCATCGCCTTAAATTCAATGGAGGAGATGGGAAGCACATGGGTATCCAAGGGTGCCACATTGTCTACTTCTGGTATCGTTTTTTAGACAAAATTAAGGGAAGGTCCATCAAAAGGTCCATCTAGGACAGTTCTCTTTATCTCTCTTTAATTGTTACCTTCATTTCACATGAAACCATGTATGGATTGTCTTGCTGTATCAAGCTGAAAATCCATTTTGATCAATAGCCATCCAGATTCATCACCCTTCTCTAGAGCCGTGTTTTTCAACCTTGGCAACTTTAAGATGTGGTGGACTTCAACTCCCAGAATTCCCTAGCCAGCTGGCTACAGAATTCTGGGAGTTGAAGTCCGTACATCTTAAAGTTGCCAAGGTTGAGAAACACTATTCTACAATATAATTCCCCAAATCCAGAATCTGAGGGTAGGCTGGCTCCTAATCTGGAGGTCCCATCCAGGCAGTAGTGACGGCAAGGTGAAAGGAATCATATATTTTTTTTCAACCAATTCCCTACTCACCCAATTCGAGGTCACGGATGCCCATGTAGCTTTCCAATAAGTCGTCCATTTTTTCAGCAGCTTCCTCCTCAAACTCACTTGGCTGTGAACAGAAGGAAGGAAGGAGATCAAATGGAACTGAACTGCCAGCGTTGATAGGAACGCCTTGTAGTGCTTCTCAACTTTGGCAGCTTTCAGACGTGTGGACTTCAATTCCCAGAATTCCCCTGACACCACCAGGATGGTCGGGGAATGTTGGGAGATGAAGTCCACATATCTTCAAACCACCAAGGATGAGAAACATTGGGCTGCATCGAAGCTTCAGAAGCAATGAAATTTGGTGCCTTCTCATGACCCTTCAGAGCAGGGGTGGGCCGTGACCCGACAAAAGTGCGCACGATAAAAGCGTGCCGACAAAACCGCATCGCTAAAACCGCGACATCATCAACGCGGCAACAACAGCGCGGCGACAACAGCGCAGAGACAGAAGGGCACTTTACAACAGCGCAGAGACAGAAAGCCGATTTAACTTAAGGTAAGGTTTAGGGTTAGGTTTAGGGTTAGGTTTAGGGTTAGGTTTAGGGTTAGAGTTAGCGTTACGTTTAGGGTTAGGGTTAGGTTTAGGGTTAGGTTTAGGGTTAGGTTTAGGGTTAGGTTTAGGGTTAGAGTTAGCGTTACGTTTAGGGTTAGGTTTAGATTTAGGGTTAGGTTTAGGGTTAGGTTTAGGGTTAGGTTTAGGGTTAGGTTTAGGGTTACGTTTAGGGTTAGGTTTAGATTTAGGGTTA